TGCACTCAGAACCTGTGCTGTGCTTTAGGACAACATCTAATCCTGTGCTTGGCTCTAAAATGCAGGTAGAAATCCCAGGATCTAGGAGCAAGCCCTGTAGCAAGAGACACTTGTACTCACAAATGAGACTCAAAGAAAGATTTCTATTCCTAAAAACTCATTTTTTTTTATTAATATGTTTGTTGGTCCAGCTCACTTTCCTGACAAACTTTGTCACAGCCGTGACCTTGGGAGAGCTGAAATTTGCTTCTGCATTTTAGATGTGTGGGTAGGCAGCATTTTAAGCTGAAGTAGTCAGGAACTGAATCACAAATCTTTCATGTGGACTAGTAGTAGGCTGGCAGGCAAAGCCTTGCTCCTACCAGGATCACCACTAGAGAACTTCGCAGTTCCTGGGACATTGCAGTCACATCCTGGTTCTCAGGGCAAATGCTTGTACCCCCTTGATACAGTGGTTTGCAAGTACTGACTTTCTACCAGCAACGGCTGAGTTTCACCTCATATAAAGAAGTTTAAGGGCAAAATTATGCAGCCAAAATAGAAGATTAAGAAATACAAGTATGACTTTCACTTAAAGCAAATACCAGAACTTTAAAAGACATGCCCCAGAGGTCTTGAATTCAGAGAAAACAGGCCTGTATTTTGGACCTCAGTAACAGCGACAGTGGTTTAGGGTGTAGTAAAACTTCAGGTTTCTGCTAGGAGTTTCAGATTCTACAATAAATCTAATTTTTTATTCATCACAGCATATGATCTTGAGCTGAGAGGTCACAGTGTTCCAGTTAACACTGGCAGAAGCAGTTAAACAAATATTACTGTCCTCACAGTTTATACCCTAACCAAACCTCCTACTTGCTTTGAAATATCAAGTCATGGCTCCCCTGGTGTCCCTGACTGCTGTCTTGATGCCTGGGCTTTTTGGAAAGCAGTTCCAGCACAAGGCCCCAGATACCATCTTCAAATAATAGTGATGCTACCAGCAATTACAGTGCTCCAGCTGAATCTGAAAGGGGAAATCAAGCCCACTGTGTTTGAAGAGTTAACCACACACAGCTCCCTGCTTTGAAAACAGTGCTTGCCATCTGAGTCACTCCCAAACCTCTACTAAAACAGCCTAAAAGGGACATGCCTGAATTCCTCTTTCACACAGATAATTTTGATTTTCAACTATCAGTTACAATATATTTTCTCATTTCTGTGTGCTTATTTCATCAGTCTACCCTTCTTCCACCACACCTCTATTTCATGTTTTCCTAAAGGGGAAAAAAATCTCCAAACAAACCACTAGGCAGGAAAGCCTTTCTCCCCATATGGTGAGAAGAATTTTGATCTACTTTACACATTCCCCTCCTCACAGCTGCAAATGAACGATTGGAAATTTCTCCTCCTGGGGCACAGTGTCACAGCCCCCTCCTTACTGAGGGATGCCCACTCCTCTGGCACTCACACCACAAATGCCAGCCAGTCCAGTGCACTCCCAGCTTGGAAAGGACCTGCAAATTGGCAGGTTGATGATTTTGTCAGGTTAGTCTTGTCTCTCTCAGCTAAAGCCAGCTGCATCCACTACGAGAAGAAACGCTGTCTCCCAGCCGGAGGAAAAAACTCTGCTGGGTCAGATGACATCACAGATGATAAGCCTTTCCAAGCTTGAGGGTACATCAGTGGCATGTGGGATGCAGGACCATGTGGCTGGAGGAGGATGGAAACTTTAATTGGCCAGTATTGTGTCAGAGCCTATCTGGTTTGCAGTCAGAGGCAGTGGGAGAGGTGAATTGTTGGCACTTCCTCAAGCCCTTGAAGATGTTCCAGAGCAAACACTCAGGAAAAGTCTTAAGCAAGGCTGTGCTGCCCTCAGGCTGGCACATAGCAGCCCATAATATCCACAGAGGGAAATAAAGTGCCAGCACAGCTGTCACTTGCACAGGTACCCTACATGCAGCTCATGCAAATCCTCCTCTGCTGCTCCCTGTTTCCTGCTTCACTGGTGATTATTTGGTGCCCTAGCACTGCCCAACTTCTTTACATCCCCTCTGTGTTGCTTCTGCCTTGTCTACCCTTCACAGAAACACTTATGCCAATTATGCTTGGCAGATGATTAAAGCACCTCTTTGCTCCTGGGTACAGAAGTGCTCTGCAGGCCATATTTGGATTATCTGGGAAATGCTGCCTGCTTCCATGACTTCTGGGTGCAGCTCAGCTGAACCCGCTCCTTGTAGCCAGGTTAGAGGTGTCAGCTCATCTCTCACATGCCATAACTGCAAACCAAGGCAAGAGACCACACTCAGAGCTAGTTAGAATATAAAGCACCAAAGAGTTTGCCCCATGGCACTTCCCACAAAGAGGAAAAAGAAGACTGTTTCGTTCATCCCTGCCTCCAGTGGGGACTTGTTGCTTTCTACGCATCAGGCTCCCAGGGGATCCATTCCCTGCTCTGTGCCACAGGATGCAAAGCAAATCTAAATTAGACACACTACATGGCATGCAGCCCTGTCTCCTAACTACAGCAGGGCCAAAGATAGCTGTAATCCCACTGACGTGGGTTAGAGTCACCTAATGAATGCTCTGGGGAGGAAATCTGGCTGGATTTGATCACTTGAGAGAAAGCAAGCAGAGCTTCCAAGGCTGGAGAGAGAAAATGGGACTTCTCAGAGACTTCTCAGAGAAGTTCATCAAAGCCCAGGCGGGATAAGGAGTGAAAACCAGATGAGGGAGGAAGGAAAGCACTGGAGGATGATGTTCTACATCCTTTCTTGCCTCCCTCCAGAGTTCTTGGCCCTGTAATCTCCATGTAATTTAGCACCATCTTCTGAAAGAGAGAAGAACCACTCCTGCTTTTCAGATGGCTCATTGCTGCTAAGTGTTTCAAGCCTTTCTAGGTTCCTGGATTTTAGGCCTGGCAGAACTGAAAGGGTATGGGAATGGCTTTGGCACATCTGAGACTATGGATCCAGCTCCAGAAGTGTGTGCAAAGATTAAAGAGTATTACTGCTGGCATCAAGCTGCTACAGGATATGTTTGTCAAAAAAAAAACAAACCAAAAACCTGCTGCTTCAGATAGAGAAAGTAGATTTAAAACAGCTGCATAGCAAAAGCAAGTGGAAAACACATACACTTGGCCCATTCATTTATGCTGTGCCCCATGAAGGGCTTGCAGTGCTGGAAGGACTTCACAAGGCAATGTGGATTGGTGTTACCAAGTTCAGCAAGAGGTTAGAATTATTCTCCTGCAAGCCCCTCAAGAGCTCAGCCTGATTTCCTTCATGTCCTGCCTGGTGCCCGCTGGTCTCCCAGGACCTGCAAGGGAGCAGATATGGAGCAGCTCTCATTGTGACTCTGACAGCTGGATTTTCCAAGCAGACACCCCAAACAGCAGCCCTCCAGAGTTTGGCTAGAGTTAATGAAGCAGCAGCCTCTCCACCTTGTTCCTTCTCCATGTATGCCCTGTTCTGACCTGGCTTCACCAAAATTGGCTCCCACCTTGCAGAGTGATTTTTCTTTGGTGAATGACAGTGAGTTAATGAATTTGTTTGGAATGAGAGTGTCTGCTGCGGAGATGGGGATGTGCAAAATACACTTTACACTGCAGCTGGGGAGCAGGGGCTCACCTGGAGCCTCTGGCAAAGGACGTCAGGAGAAACCCAAAGTTAACCATTAGGGTTTTGGAGCTGGAGTTATCAAGGACCAGAAGCCCACTATACTCCCACTGAAAGAGAGAAATTAGCAAGTTCAAGTCACCTCAGGAGTTGCTGGGACAGAAGCATCTCCTTTTGGCAGCACTATTGCCCGTCCTACACTGGATGTTCCAAGGAAACATCCCCTCAACAAATCACATAACCAGCGCTAGATGGAGTAAGTGGGTAGCATTAATTACACAACACACCCAAATGGGAAAACTATTTCCTAGGAGTCCTAGAAGAGATCATGAACTGGCCAGAAGGCAGAGATTTTGGAACAGTGCCTGAGAAGCAGCACCATATGAGTTACCAGAAAGTGAAAAAGGCTATGAGAGCTGGGAGAGTGTTGGTAATACACCTGCATTTTGGTTATTGCTGTGCAGCGCTGTCCCTGTGGCATTCCTTCTCTCCCATGAAAGGCCTGGGAGTGGGCAAGGTCCTGGAAGGGGACCAGCTCTCCCAAAGCAACCCCAAAGGGATATTACATATTATGACATCAGCTCAAATAGAAAAGCTAAGGGAGGGAAAAGGAACGGGGGGCATTTGTTATTCTATAGTGTTTCCTCTCCAGAGCATCCTCACTGATGGAATTAGAGAAGAATTTTTCCCTTTGCTTACATATGAGAAAACTTTTGTTTCCCTTTTTTGCTTTACTGAACTGCCTTATCACAACCCAATAGCACCCATCTTATTTGGCACACAGCCAAATGGCAGGCCTTTTTTAGAAATCATTCTCAAGAGAGAGGAACCCAAGACAATATGTTTTCTACACAACATTTCATTTCCATTTCTATCCCGGTAATATCAAATCCTGCTCTTTCCCTCAAACATAAGCCCTTCCTACATTCCATTTATATCATAGTAGTGGAAAATATTCCTCTTCCACTCCAGCAGAAGCTCTTCCCAGGTGTGCACCACACATGCAACAGAGTCCAAAAATACTAGAGACACAAAGCAGAATAGAATAACCTGGAACAGAATGGATCAAAACACAACACAAGATATTTTACGTGCAACGTTGCACTTCAATTTATATTCTAGTAACAGTAAATCTTGTTTTTTTTCACTCCAACAGAAGCTCTTCCCATGTGTGCACCATGATCAGGACTAGACCAGTCAGAGAGATGCACAACAGGGAAATGGGGAGATGAGCTCTTTGGGATACAAGGAAAATATGGTGAAGAGGTATCACCGTGTGGGACAGGGACCTTGGTTTGTTTCCTTGTGCATTAAGGGAAGATTCAGAGCTTTTGAAGTATAAGACTAAGAGAATGGAAAACACTGGCAGAGAGGTTTCCTCTCACCTGATCAATAGTTTTAATTTACTTCCTTATCCTTTATCCATCTCCTAAATTTTCACTGAAAAAAGCAATTGCAAACCTTTCCCATACTTTTTTCTTCCCTTATGACCAAACAAAACCAGTTTCTTCTCCCACTCCAGCCTGTGTCTTGGTTACTGGATGTGGTTTCCGGTAAAATTAATTCCTCAAGTTCCCAGTGACCTTCCTACAGGAGAAAGCCCAGGCAGGCAGCTCTGCAGTGAGGAAATAGCCAGCTCAGCAACAGGAGAGAGGAGACAGCACCAAAATACCACAGACAGCTGCTAAGCACAAACTATTAGAGGCTATTAGAGGGTTGCAGCTGCTCCTCTGATTAAGAGACAAGAACAGAAAGAATGGCGAGAGGGGGATTAAGATCTGAAAGAGCCTGTCCTGCATGTCCAGGGGTGAGGGATGTAACATATGTTTGCTCTTCCTCTTGCAGCACAGGCTGGGCTGTGCAGTTCATTCACTGTCCAGCCTGAGCTGACACTCAGCTCCTGGGCAAGGCCATGCTCTTTCCAGCTCTTTCTTCCCACTGCCTGAACCAGGACTAGATGCTCATGTTATGCCAGGAGTCCTGGCTGCACCACACAACCCCTCATGGGTCTCCTGGCTCTACTGCAAAGGTACCACATCTAAACATACCTTCTTTTCTTACCACCGCTGTAGGAACAGGAGAGAAGTTCAACATGGCCAGACTATACAAGATCCGTACCTCTCTCTTCCTCTTGTCTTCATTTTCCTTAGGTGGAGTTGTTACAAACTGAGCTGAACAAGCCATGCTCCTACTCCATCATCTCCTTCAACACGACCAAGGACCTCAGCAGCATGAATTCAGGACTCCTGCCCTACTACTAGAATCATCCCTTCCTTCCTTCCTGCCTTCCTATCTGGGTCCAGCTGCTGAGGCAGGTCTCATCCCACATCCCCAGACTCCAGTGTGTGGTCCAGGAGGGCAAAAATGGGTGGTGGAGAACTGCAGCAGACCAGTATTTGGGATCACTCTGCTTGCTGCAGGATGCTAAGAGAGAAGCACCCTGAAGTGGGAAGTGAGACAGGGTGTGAGCTCAGTAGCCATAAAGAACGGTGCCTTGCCCAGATAAGAAATGTGTAGTGGCTTCTGGAGATGACTCCTTCTCCTACCCCTCTAAGGAACAGAATGAGGCAGTCACCAGGCCTCATTGTACAGCCAGATGAGAGGCTGGCCCTTTGCAACATAAGACCTCAAAATTGCTATCATCAATCAGAAGGTTCAGAAAGCCCAGAACCCCCCAAACTCTTTAGCTTTCAAATGGGTGCCCTACCAATTACTTGGACATCTTATTTTTGGGCTCTGCATTATTGACGTAGTGGAGGGAATTGATCTCCCCAAAATCTGTGTTTCATTTTTTAACCAACTATTCCCTGGACATGATCTGCAGACACCATGGGCTGGCAGTAAGAAAGTGCATAAAACTGAAGGCTTTGTACTTTGAAGCCCTTTTCACATTATGCCATCTTGCCTAGGAGCTCAGCTGGACATAGAGGGAAGAGGGTCACCCAGAAATCTTGAGTTGCACCAGCAGCAGGATAAAGACAAGCTGGTACTGCAGAGCTGGTGCAAGCTCTCCAGGTGTTAGCTGGGGTGTAACCAGCCAAGGATTGATGGCTTTCCTGGGGCCACATAATCCTTTTCTGGTCTTAGGTATGTTTGCTCCTTGCAGGAGCAGCCAGCAATTGCTGGCAGTTTTAGAGCGATTGCTGCTCCTAAAAGCACTGCTGGACTAGATGGCTTGAGGCTCTGAACCTGAATGGCGGTTCCCACTTGCTACAGATATCATGTTCCTTGACAAGTGTTCAGTAGCACATTATTTCAAAGCCCCTTTGATTTGGCCCCTATGTTTTCCTGGGGTAGCAAGCAGAAACCCAGGGAGCTTGAACTGGATGTGGGAAATGGCTTCATGCTGGAGAAACAGCTGTGGAGGGGGTACACAAAGAGGGTACTGAGGGCTGAAGCCATGTGTGAGAATGCACAGTGACAGCCCCAAGCCACCATGGAGCAACTGTGGGCAGCTGGCAGAGGATGTGCCCTTGTGCAAGGGGCCTCCAGCATCCCGGGCTCTCCACACAGCCCTGGCAAACTTTGCATGGAGGAAGGGCAAGGTCGGAGGGATCATGGTCCCCACACAGCCTGTTTAAGGCTGTCTGAGAAAGGGGACAGGGTGACTTAATGCTGCTTGAGGTTCATGAGCACTAGGTCATTAGCGGGGTGGAACCATAGCAGAAGAGGTTTTTAGGCTGATACCACTGAAAGAAAGCACCTGAATTTCCCTTCTTGATACAGGCCCCTTTGCTAGCATAAGAGCCCAATCCAAAAGCCCAGGATTGTGAAGGGAAACACATGAACACAGGCCCTAAAGTCAGGAAGCATCCCTCGAATGAGTTCAGCTGTGTACCACATGGATGCACAACTAGAAGATAAAGACACTAAAAGATTGATTGATTTGTCCAACCTCAAGAAATGTAGCTGGGAGCTTGAATTTGTATTGAGATCCTCTCTGGCATCTCAGAAAGCCATCACCATTTTTTTTCCTAGTAGTCTGCCAGAAAGAGTGAAAACAGAGACTTTGGGGATATTGAAGTTTAAGTGTCTTAGTGTGAGCCCTACTGTGCTTGCACAGAACAGGCTGGTTATGGGAATGGATTCTCCACCTCTCTACTCAGAGATACCAGACAGAGGTTCTCCATGGCAGTACAGCCATCCCCAAACTGAGCATGGGCACCTCTCCTGTGCTGCAGGCACAAGGGTCATATCTCATCTCTGACCTCCATGCAGAAGCAATTTCTCCAGGGAAGGAAGCTGCTCCCAGCACCCAGCACCCAGCACTGGCAGGGCAAGAACCTGGCAGCACCAAGGTGGCCGTGGCTGCGGGGCCCTGCCCTGTGTCTATGTCCAAGGGAACACCATGTGAGACACACTGGGTATCTGCCCATCCCACATCATCCTCCCGCTGCAGGAACCTGTGATAGATCCTCACAGAGGGCTGAAGCTGGATCTGCTTTCCCACCCTTCTTCTCCCCACTCCAGCTGGATCTAATGGCCCAAATGTTTTCTGCACCCTGGAGCAGGTAGTTTGATATACCTGATGACATTTTTACTGGTATTAATTCTAATGAATCCTGATATTCTTACTGTCCGTATCTATTTAGCCTTTCTCTGACTCTTGATGTATTTTTGCCCTTGGGAATTTCTGGGGCATGCTCACTGCATGTCATAGGGGAAAATAAATTAAAGAAAAATAGATTTTCACAGCTTAAAATTTCCTTTCACCTGTTTCACTGTCATGATGTGATAAGAGAGACACATTCATCATTTCCTATACTCCCAGCCTGTCTTGTGACTGATTTCCCAGGCTTTCAAAGTGGCAGATTCCCTCATAAAAGAACCATCCTCTGACTTGCCTGCAGGCAGGTGTGGGCTGGAATGCCAGTCTTCCTTTGTTTTGCATTTTTTCTTAGCAGCACTGCTTAAAAATCCTGCCACTATGCTCTAGTTACAAGACATAAAAAGTTTCATCTCCTGAGGAATCTGTTAAATGTGTGGATGGGTTTTGCGCAAAGTAACACAAAAATAAAGTAGTAAGGCCACAGAGGCTTACGCTGGTGTGGAAAGCAAGTAAAAGGAGGCAGTAAAAATGGGGAGGGAGGAGGAAGTGCTGTGTTTAAATGGATGACCCTGCAGCCATCCCCATCTTTGCACAGTTCCTCCCGTGTTTGCTTGCGCTACAGAATGTCTTTGGGTGGCAGCACAGGCCTGGCTCCCGGGTCCTGTGCAAGCAGGAAGGAAGCTTGGAGGAGGAAGAGCAGAGAAAGGCTGTGATGCACGGCAGGCTGGAGCGGGTGTGTGAGCTGGGATGGGGTGTCCCCAGAGCCCGGTGTTCAGCTCTCCAAGGTGTAAAGCCCAGGCAGGGCCATGACAGTGGGTGACAGCTCAGGAATAACTGGAGGAGGTTGGCTTCTGGGCTGTGAAAGCTGTCCAGGTAAACAGGATTTATAGCTGCAAGGAGAGAACAGAAAGAACTCTTCTTGTCATCCTCTGTCTGCCCCTTCCTGCAGAGGCCAAAAATAATTTGGTTGTCTTTGGGGGTCTTCCTCCTTTCATCCATGACCATTTCCAGCCCTTCCAAGCTTCAATCTCCAAAGCTGTCCACACACAGCAGCAGCAGCAGTGTCACCCTGACTGCCACCATGGGGCACAGGCTTTCTGTGGCCTCTTTGAGGATGTACAACTGCCTCAGTTTAGAGACAAGTTCAGGAGAAGACACTCTGGAATGTCGTCTCTCTAAAAGGTTCCAACAATCCCTTCCCACCAATAGGAAATTAATACTAATGGATGAAAGTGGGGAAAAAAACACCCCAACAGTTGATTAACAATCAGAATGCCCACAAGGCAAGAGGAAAAACGTGGATAAATGCCAGATATTAAACTGTCAGATCTTACCCCTTCCCCCCCACGAACAAAACCCCGAAATGCCAGGGATAACACTCGCTCACGATGTGAGGCACCGTACAAAATGGCGTCCGTGTCTCCCTCAGGGAGAAAGCCCCAAACAAACAGGAGCTTCATGCAGCAGTTCGGGCAACAGATGAAAACCTGGTGACCCTCTGGCATCGACCTCCTCTCCAGGGCTGCTGGGCTGGAACCTCTTGGTTTCCTTTCTCTCCCCAGTTCGGCTTCCCGAGGTGTGGGGCCGGAACGGAGCGGCCCCTCTCCCGTTTCTCTAGTCTCGGGCTAACAAGCTGTCCAGTTCACCTCAAAGATAGCTGAAGGTTTGCTGCTGCAGCTTCTCCAAGGCCAGGGAAGGGAAAAACTTCTTGCCTGGGCTAAGAGAACCAAGCTAGCCAAGGAAAATCAGACTGTGCCGCACCCTGGGGAGTGAGGCTTAGAAAAAGCTCGGCAAAGAGCCCAAGGCTACCCGCAACCCCAGCCACACACCTTTAAGATACGGCAACCACTTTGGGGCACAAAGCGGAGGATCATGTAACAGATTATCATCATAAGTCACCCCAAGACAACCACTTGCTCAGGTCTTCTACGGTGGACAATTTTTCACTCCCAGAAACAATACATTAGAGTTCACTTGAAGTTCACCAGGTCTGGTGCTGTGCTGCCTTCACATGAGCACAGACGGACAGCAGGTATGATTCCAGATGCAGCCAGGGGGTGCCGAGTTGTGGAAGAAAAAAGAGGCTTATAACTAAATACATAGTTTTTCTATATAAATATATATTATTATGTGTTTATAAAAATATTTAAATAAATTCGGGCAGAAGGACAGACAGTTGGGCAAATAGCTCTGAAAAACCTACCAGGAAAATATCACTGGAGTAAAGTACTATCAAACCACAGAGCCATAACTTTCTTCCTATCTCAGATTTCCCTATCTCAAGGCAAAAGGCGGAGAAGAAGCCAACTTCTGGCTTACAGGTGAACACACTGCTCAGGAGACTGTTATTCCACCCTCAGTATGAGTCACTCTGTTTATACAGTTAAACTATTAAGATAATTTTACTCTTCAAAGTCTCAAAGCTTCCATAATTAGCCTCTGTCAATTTTAGGTTTGGAGCTATTAACATGAATTGGAGGTTCATTCCTGTGCAATTGGCTGTCCTGGCTGTTGGCCGTGTTCAACTTGTTTGGGGGTGCCTGGGATAGCTCTGACAGTGAACTGCAGGCTCGAGTCCTTACTCTCCTGCCTACCTGTAGTAACTACAGGCAATGATGTTCTTTGGGTTATAAAGCACAATACTCTACTGAAGTAGCAAAAAAAGTTTTGGTGATGCACTGGAGAGTCCCAGGAAACACACAGGGACTGGGAATCAGAATGAAAGCATCACAGAATAGAGACATGAAGGCTTTTCCTTTGGTCTTTGTGGCTTCAGCAACAGGCCTTAATTACCTGGGATTTTTCCTTGTGTTTTTCAGGGTTTGTGCTTCCTTCTCCAGGCTTGGCTTTGTGGTGCTGGGCTCTCATGCAGGTACCAGCAGATTTGCATGAGCTCAATAAACAGCTGCTTTTCTGGAGCCAGGATCCAGTCCCAAGGGCCCAGTGCAAGTTCAGCCTGGGACCAGCAGAAGACCCCAGCATCACAGGGTTTCTGTCCACAGACTTCATGCATTGCAATGAAGACAAGCTCTCCCTTAAAAATGGCTGGGAGGGAAGGGCTGAGAAGGGGGATTTCTCACCTTGAGCTCCTGTAGTTGCCTCAGGGACAAAAGTGTCACATGCTTTGCTTTTCTGTTAAAAACAGAAAAGGGGACCAAAGGGGAACAAAAAAGAAGGGACCTTCTTTACTTAATGTTTATTTAATGGCAAAACACCATGTAATTGGACTTGAAGCAAGATGTCCAGTTCAAGCACACCTGAACACCAAAGTTCTTAGATCCCTTTTGTTCTACACTCATGTTAGGTCTCCTCAGACTATGGCAAACCTGAGATTAATCTCTGGAGACAAATTCTGGGGTCAGACCAATTCAGCATTTAGTTACAAGTCCCCTAAGCTACAGTGTCCTGTGCTATGCTGCCATTCAGGGAACTCTGAAGGTAGCCAGGATGTGTCACTGAACACTTTGAGATCTCTGGCATCCAAGACTTGGTCCCAGCCATGAGGGTCTTCA